ATCCCGGACCATGAGGAAGCATGTGAGGCTGGCAGAAGAGACAGCCGGAAGTCTGATAACCCTGGGGCCCTCCTGGGATTGCCTCCCTGTGCATCCCTTCTAGGGAGATGTAAATAATCTTATTCGGGTCACTATGACGTTGGCATTTTCTGCTGTGTGCCGATGAACCTTCCTCTAACTGACATACCCATTTTAGGATGCAGGAGGCTCAGGAAGGGAGCCTCAGAGCAGCTACAAGAGCCCCAGGCCTTGGAGTCGGTCAAGGGCAGCCCCGAGGTCAAGTCATTCAGCCATCTTCCAAGTCCACAAAGTGTATGGTCTGAGCTCTCAGTGAGGAAGCGGTGGCTGGGGAAGGAACAGGTTTTTTTGGGGGCAGTTTGGACACCCTGAGTGTGAGAAGACTATCCGAGAAGCCACGAGCAAGTAAATGGGGTGGGAGTTCTGGAGTGAGGTCCAGGCTGGAGGTGGGAATTGTGGAGGGAAAAGCCATACGACCACAGGAAGTCAGCCAGCAAGGTGGGGATGGAGAAGCTCCCAAGGACTGAGGCCTAGGCCGCCATCACCTGTGTGTCTGGGCGAGGGGCAGTGTAGAAGGCTCCAAGGAGCCTGGGAAGGGTGAGCTGGGGGAGGGTCTGATCCTCTCCAGCCACCTGTGGACATTCTGGAGGGAGGACATCAGCTCAGTCACCTGCTGCTGACAGTACTAGTCAGGGAGGGGTCTGAGATGGATCACTGGAGTCAGCCACTTCAAGTTCTTTATCTCTCTGATGAAGAGCTTCCCAAGTGTGATTGGGCGAAAATCAGATGAGAGTCGGTTCAAGAGAGAACAGGTGGAAAGGAATTGGGGATAAGAGACAACTCTTTTTTTCTTTTTAAATTTTATTATGATTTGGATGAAAGTTTACAGAGCAAATTCATTTTCAATACACTGTCTCATGACATTGACTAATTGGCATTGTCGCATTGACAACGCAACAGTTCCCTTCCCCCTCCCTCGCCAGCTCCCTCCTCCCTCCCTCGCCAGCTCCCTCCTCCCTCCCATGCACTCCTGCCCCCCGAGCTGTCTCCCTGTGCACACACAGCCCTTCTAATCTTCCATGACTGATCTCTCCAAGGACTGTATCTACCTCAGGTAAATGTTCAGCTCATATGCCTGTCTGTTGTTTGGCTGCAAGCCACAGGAGTGGGCTCAACTCCAGACCTGAAGGGCAGCTAGGGGTCATAGTCTCGGTGGTTCCACCAGGTTCCATCAGACCAGCAAACCTGGTCCCTCCCTCTTTTTTTTTTATGATTGAATTTTGTTCCATATTGTTCTCCCACTCTATCCAGGATCTCCTTCTACATAGAGCCCTGCTCCGAGGGGTTGACAGTGGTAGCTGGGCACCATCTAGTTCTTCTGGTCTCATGGTCATATAGGCTGAGGATCGCATGGTCTACAAGTCCCTTGGTCTTTCCATGCATCTTTGGTTTTCTTCATTCTTCTTTGAAGAGACAACTCTTGAGGAGTGTGGTAGTTAAGTTTGTGTGTCAACTTGGCTGGGCTTGGTTGAATGGCTGGGCAACTGGATATAGTATCCCTCATGATGAGATTGGTAATCAATTCCATGGTGGAATCTACTGTGAGCAGCTGAGTAACTGCCTTAGGGAATGTGGTCTGCTTCCTGTATATAAGGAGAAGCCTTGGGGAATGGTCTCTAGCTTATGGCACGCTTGAACCCTTCATGTAGCTCTGTCATTGTTCAGCAGCCTGCCATGCTCTGCTGACCTTGGGTCTTTTAATGGACTTTAGTTAATGGTCTGCCATATGGTTTGGTAACATGGGGACTGTGCCTTTTTACTTGTCAACCTTGGGCTTGTGCAGTGTAGTAAATTACCTAGTATGGCTTTTCTATCCATAAGTCAATGTAAACTCAGTGGTGGAATGAGCAACTGAGGAGCTCCTGATTGTAAATGTTAATCCACCCGGGTTATTTCTGTTGGGCGTGGCACAATACAATGTTCTGGGAGGTTCCCACTCTCTCTCACGTGCTTAGAGTTCTGATGCTGTGATTGGCTAGTTTGACCACCCTGCCGGGCTCAAAAGGAGACCTCCTAGAGGCAGAGCTCTCTCTGACTGCTGGTGGAGGAAGATGTGCTGCTGAAAGAGACACGGGCTCCTGAGACACGCGTTGCTGGGAAAGAGACGCAAGAGACACGCATTGCTGAGTGAGACACCGAGAGACCAGCACTGCTGAGAAAGAGACTGTGAGAGACTGTTGGCTGAGGGACGGTGGGCTGGGAGAGAGACTGAGCATTTTTCCTGAACTTGAATTGTAGCCTGTGGTGCTTTCCTAATAAACCCCATAATCTGTGAGCTCTGTGTGCCCACTCCAGTGAATTATTGAACTCAGGAGAGAGGTGGTGGGTGTTTTGGGAAGAACGGTTGGTGAAAGGGCTGGAGGGAGGCAGCATGTCTGGCCTCGCAGTAATAGGCCTTGGGCTATTGATGGTGATTCTGTCTTTCTCTTGTGGGATTAGAGGAGGTCAGAACACGTGGCCTCCTTGCCCTTTTTGCAGCTTGTCAGCCTTAGCAGCCCGCAGCTGTCTGAGTGAAGAAATACTTCTAGCTCCAGTGGGCTGGGAGCAGGAGCCAGAGCTGAAGCCCAAGGTTGAGAGGCTTTCATCCAGCTCCTAGAGCCTGCCACTCTGAACTCATACTTCTAGCCTCCTAAACTGTAAGAAAATAAAGTCCTGTTTGTCGAAGCCATCCTATTTGTGCTATCTTCTTGTCAGAGTGACACTAGGTAACAAGAACAAGGAGTTTGGCTCTTAGGGGAGCAGCTACTGGGCGGTAGCTGGAGGAGGCACGGGGAAGATCAATCATGTACTGAAAAACAGATGCGAATTCCAACCACACCAACAGGCGTGGTCCCTGCTGAGATGCATGGTAAGTTGTATGGAAGAGGCCGTCAGGGAACCATCTGAGCCAAGTGATAACAAGAGGAGTAGGAAGACATCTGAAACCTGTCTCAAGAGGGGCATTAGTTCCCTCTCCTGCCTGTTGTTAAAAGAGCCCTGGTGGCACAGTGGACACAGAAAGGTTCGAACACACCAGCTGCCCCGTGGAAGAAAGACGTGGCAGTCTGTTTGCATAAAGACTGACAGCTTTGGAAGCCCCACAGGGCAGTTCTACTCTGTCTGACTCGACAGCAGTGCATTTCTGATGTAGTCTTAAATCTGAGGGACAAGAAATGGTGCTGGCCGGGGACCAGGGTACTATGCAAGGCTCTGGGGGTGGGTGTGGGGCAGCACTGGCCTTGATTCTGGATCCACTTCCCACCAGACAAGGCACCTTCGACAATTTGTGTCTCATTTTTACTTTTTCTTTTAAGCTGTAAATGGGAATTTTAAATGAGATGATATATTTGTTGTTAGCTCTGTGCTTGGCGCAGTGCAGGAAGAGCTGCCATCAAGCTGAATTTCGTCTCCTGGCGACCCCTTGTGTTTCTGAGAAGAAATGTGCTCTGTGGGCTTCTCATGGCTTCAGGACCCTTCAGAGGCAGACTGTCTGGCCTGTTTTCTGAGGACCCTCTGGGTGTGTTCAAACGGCCAACCTTTCCATACTCGAGCGCTTAACTGTCTGCGCCACGGAAGGATTCCTCAGTACATTACAGGCACATCATTGGTGACCGGTTTTTATAGATCCAAGTTAGGGTACTGTTGGGGGAAGTGATGAATAAGGCAACATCTTTTAACAAAGCACCATTCACTGTTGTAAACCATACTCTGTAAAGCTCCCGTCCTAATCCAGTTTGGGAATGGGGTGTCTTTGTTATGTTAACGAGGCAGGATTAGCGTCGTGTGTATTTGGAGTCAATCTCTTGAGATATAAAAGCGATTAAACAGGCGAGCAGGAGAGAGCTGTGCAAAAGAGAGTGTCAAAGCGCAAGCAGCAGAAACTCAGGAGACGAGGACCCTGCTCCGGAGCCGGTGGAGGAAGGCCTCCGCCAGAGTGGCGCTCTGATTTCACCCTCCCAGCTCCTAAACCGCGAGGAAACACATTTCTGCCCGTTACAGCCCTCCACGTGTGGCATTTCTCTTAGAGCAGCACGAGAAAAGGAAGACAGACAGCAAAAGGGGGGTTTGGAAAAAGCAGGAGGATGAGAACCAGCCTGCAGGAAACGGGAGGTTGTCAGGAAGACGCTGTTGAAAAGAAAAAACATTATCCCTCCCTTCCTCCCAGATTCCTTTTTCAGGTCCGTTGCCCTCACCTGCCTTTCTTCTCTTCCGGCCAAAGAACCCTCCTTCTCCTTTGCCCTCGTCGCCTCCGCAGTTTCCAGGTGCTGTC